CTTCTTGACAGTACCCCCCTCCCTCCCTTCCGCGCACCCATCCCCCTTTACAATCTCCCCCCTCTCTCCGGCCCTTCTTTCTTATCACGCGTGTAATTTTCAAATTTTTTTGCACTAACCGCATACTATGTACTGGGTGATCTGCCATAAATGATGAACCCGCAGTAGACACAATAAACCATGGGAAATCGATTTATTAGAGAAAAAAAATTCTAAAAAAATTTCAACGTTGGATCAAGAACGATCCTCTCCCTTCATTTGCTCTGAGAGATTAATCGAGAGAAATTCTAATAAATATTAATAATTATAGTTTTAGCACTTGATCAGATCCGATTGAGATAAATAGTAAAGCAATGGACCAAACCCGATAAAATAAGTATCGCAGATCATAAGGGACGTTAAAAATCAATATTTTCAAAATCAAAATTCTAAGTCCCTTCGAAAAGTCGCTCACAGTCTGAATACGGTAATTTGTCTCATGCAACCGCTGTCCGGTTCCGCGTTCCTTCTGCGTCACAAGTCAGTGCGTTCACCTTGCCAGAAGTATCATCGGATTCTGCGATTAACGAATCAGTCAGATTTTCGTCTCGTTGTAAATAATAAAAAAAAATTCCTTATCAGTCTTCATCATATTTCACGAAGAGTTTTGAAAAAAAATAAAATAAATAAAATAAAACTTCGTCCCATTGATTCTCATTGCGATTCGAATATAAAAACTGCATCCAGATCGATCATCCGGTTGATTCAGGATTTCCGGTTAAACCATCTAAATCATTACCTCTCAAGAACTCGAGCATATTTCCCCTGCGAGCACATGATTTTCAATTTCACCTTCGGTCTTTCTTCCGCGGTCCAGCTGGTAGCTACAATACGATTTTGAGGCGGATCCAAAGTCTCTGTGGTATTGCGAACCGAATGCGGTACAACAAAGCACAACAATTGAATTGAAAAGAAACTGTAACCGTTTAAAGATATTAAATAAGGTTACGTCATCTTCTTAACACTTTAACAAACTTTCAGTTAATATCTCGCAGTCTCAGAACTTTTGCACACAGTCAACGTCACTCTAGCCAAACACTGTCACTCCTGTCGGATATAAAAATAAAAAAAAAACAACCACAAAAAAAAACAATATTTTTCCACCTCAACGTTCCTCCAAACGCCTCCAAAACTTTAACGCCTCCTCTCGTCAAGTTCCGCGTCGATCCGGTAGCGGCCGTTAAAACTTGACGTTTACAAATATAAAGTTCATAGAGCAATTTTAAGTCTCAACACAGAAGTCCCTCCTTTAAAAATCCTTGCAGTAGATAATGATCCTCGTTGTTGAGAATTCCCTTAATCTTCGTAATTTTTCAACCAGCGATATATCCTCGATTATCAAATACAACAATGAAAGTCACGGTCAAGTCCGTCGGTCCATAATTTATTAATTAAACGAGCATCGGCCGATCCGACGATCCCCTTCGTTTCTGCCGTCAACGTACAAAAAGAAACGAAAAATTGGCTCAAAGGTACGTGTATGATTCTGTAAAGAGTTTCCTTGCGGGTATGTCAAACTTCAAAGACGTTCCAGCACCTCGATGAACTGAAACTCGTCGCACTCCGTGAAAAAAGTCGTCGGTTCGCCCGATTCTTCTGGAACCGATTGATTAACGTATTATTTGAAACGATGCTCTGGTGGCAACGTGGTGTCGGCGATCACGTGCTTGTCAACGCGTCGGAGAGCGTTTCCCGGCGAGCGACTCGCGCGAGCGCTGCTGCTGCTGCTGCTGAATGCTGGTTGCGCGAGCTGTCTTACCTGTGAGGTAAGTAAAGCCGGCGCTCGGTGTGTTACGGCATTGCAACTCGCGGGCCGGCGGAGCCCCGCGGAGAGGAGGAATTAAGTGAACGTTAGCAGAGTTACGGGAGGGGAGAGCGAGGTGGCGAGGGAGGGGAGGAAGGGGTTACGGGAAGGAATGAAAGGGGAGGAAAGGCCGTCGAGGAGGGGGAGTGGACCAACTGGGTTCACCAGCAACGATAGTTCATTGACCGAGAAGTGCCGAGCAGGCCCGAACAGCCGCTGTACCCACACGCCGCTAAAACAGAATTTCTACGTGTCTTTATATGCCTCTCTGCTTTGCATTTCTCTCTTCTTTTCATTTGCTTTCTCTCTTTCGCTTTTTCTTCTTAGACTCCTCCCTCCTCGACTCTCTCTCTCTCTCTCTCTCTCTCCGCGAGTACCTCTTGTCCACTTCCTCTTGGCTTCTCTTTCCTTTGGCGATCCTCACCAAGAGCCACGTTGTCCATTTACTTGAACCCTCTGAGGGGTTGGTGATACCACCCTTGATATACGTCAAAGGTTTGTTAACCAGAATTAACAATGCAAAGTATAGGATTAATGATGGACAATGGATAAAGTCTGTATTGAGAATACCATGGTGAAAGTATCGCTTTAGTATTTCAACCCTGCTTATAAGTCGAAACTGTTTTACCGACGCAGCACAGCGAAGTCCAGTCGAGATTAGAATCAACGGAGGTCGTTTTCAGCTGGAAAAGCGAATACGAACTTTGAGTCTCTTTGTAAGTCATATTTGGCAAAGGGGTTTAGCGTGAAGAGGGTATGTAAAATGAAGATACCCGTTATAAGGGTTGCTGCCTAAGATCGGACGTTGCCCATCGAATATTCCGAATCCCGAGCGCAGATCGTCGATCATGAAAAGATCCCGACGGCAAAGTGTCAGCGACTGCTCGAAAGCGCTCTGAAGTTGTATACGAGTAAGGAAGGGTGAAGTCCCATGTAAGTCTGTCGAGTGACCACACAGCACACTTGTCGGGAAAGGAGATGCGCGCTCAGAGTAATGAACCTGGAAAACCGGTTACGTCCGCACGTGTATACACAGATCGGTTTAATATATACACTGTATTACAGTGGCTCGGAGAAGTCGCGACGCAAAATCTAATTGAGCTCCTACTGGCACGGATTCGTTATACCGAAAATCCATCCGTTATCCTAGCTTCGTCACAGCCGCAAGAAGAGTCGCAGGCGATCGGGTCAGACCTCTGATTCGTTGGGACCCGCTGGGATTATATTATTTTAAGGGCTTCCTTGGCCGATTTCCTAACCAACCCTCCCCGGGGGCTTATGATCTTGCGAATGATAAAAATAAACAAGCGCCGATCGACAAACTCGTTAAGCTCGACCTACTTCCGCGAAGCCACCTCGTCGTTGTCGTTATCCTCGTCAACGTCCTCGACGTCGTCGTCGTCGTCGCGTTACGTCGATATCCTGGCTTCAAATTCGGAACGGCTCATCCGGGGTGGGGGAGCG